GATGTACCTTCAACACACCAGGAGACTGGAACTCAGGACATGTCGGGGTACCTCTGCCTTGCAATCTTGTTAAGCTTGTCGATGTCGAGGAGCTGAACTATTGGACCCACAATGGAGAAGGAGAGATATGTGTGAAAGGAACAAATGTATTTAAAGGTTACTTGAATGATGAGGAAAAGACGAAAGAGGCCCTGGACAGTGAAGGGTGGCTTCACACCGGAGACATTGGGAAATGGCTGCCGGCTGGAACGCTTAAAATTATTGATCGGAAAAAGCACATATTTAAACTTGCTCAGGGAGAATATGTTGCACCCGAGAAGATTGAGAACATCTACACTCACAGTGAGCCTGTGGCACAAATATATGTCCACGGAGACAGTTTAAAGGACTTTTTGGTGGCCATTGTTGTGCCCGACCCTGAAGTCATGCCCTCCTGGGCTCAGAAGAAAGGATTTGAAGGGACTTATGATGAGCTCTGTGCAAACAAGGATGTGAAGCAAGCCATTTTGGACGATTTGGTCAGGTTGGGAAAAGAAGGTGGACTCTGTTCTTTTGAACAGGTTAAAGCCATTCACATTCACTGTGATATGTTCTCAGTTGAAAATGACTTGCTGACACCAACACTAAAGGCTAAGAGACCCCAAATGAAAGAGTACTTCAAAACACAAATAGAAGAGCTTTACTCAGTCTCCATCTGAAGCTCAAGGGAACTTCTCAGTAAAATGGATGGATAGCAATGTTTTCGTTCTTATTGGAATTAATAAGTCAGAATGATGCAGCTGAAAAGGAATAAGCATTTGACCTTATGATTGAACCTTTTTTTGTCCTAATTTTCTCTATCATTGAGTACATTTTACTTTTATTAAAATGATACTGTAGCAAGCTGATAAAAATATCATAAATGCAATGTAAAAAAAAGTGAACTGTGTATCACTAAAAGTAATATATTGTCAATGTTCAAAGAATTCCTATTAAACATAAAAAGGAAAAAAAAAAGAAATTAAAAAAAAAAAAGATTTACAGCCTCTAATGAAGGCAGCATAGTGGAGTGGCTTGCTGGGAGGGATTGTATAACAATGAAAGAATTTTACTTTTCAAAGAGGAGAGTGAATTGGAGGAAGGGTTGGGCAGGAAGAAAAGTGCAACAATGAATGAATGGAAATTCAAAGTCTCTGTAAACTTTCATTAAAATTCATTTAAAAAATATTACAGCCTCAGAAACCTGATGTAGAGTCACTATGAGTTTGACACCATTCTTATGTTTAAGATTATTTATATCATGGAAATTGGCAAATGCTGCAAATCAGGAATTTTCTCTTTTTCTTTATTGAGAGGCAACTTTGCCAGTGCATCCTTGAAAAGTGATAAAATCCTGTTCTTTGAGGTAGGTATAAGCTAGACTCCACCTGGCTCCTCTCCAATTAGCTGCTGTTATTGGGGGGAAATGTTTAATCTTCTGTGAGCCTTAATCTTCCTTTCTCTAAAATTGGGGTTATAAAAATCATCATAGTAACGTCCTCATAGGGTAGTGTGAAGCTTGAATGAGATAATATCCACAAATCACTAAACTCATTTCATTGTAGACTACAGCTTCTAGAGACAAGGAAGTGAGGGGGCAGAAAGGAATACACCTGAATCATGGCTCTTTTCCAAAGTGTGACCAACTTTCCCAGAAGCCTCACTCCATGGCTCATTCCATTGGCCAGTTTAGCATCACACGCCCATCACCTGACTTGGGAAATAAGTGCCAGGCAATACTTCTAAGGCCTTGGAAACCCTCTTGGGATTGTTGTCATTGTTGTTTTGTGCTATCAAGTTCGAATCAACCCATAACTGGCCCTGGTTTTCAGAGGTGGTAAAATGACACAGCGTAGATTGTCCAGCCTTCTCCTATAGAGCAGCTGGTAGGTTCAAGCTTTGTGCTTTTGGGTAAGATTTGTAAAGCGCTCAAGTTGGTTTCAATGTGAAATGACAGAATCTAAATATTGGCAAAGTATTACTTGCCCCCACCCCCAAGACTGGAGAAGGGCTCATTTTCCTCTTAAGAGCATGCACTCATTGCCTTTCGAGTCCCAATCAACTCACAGCTGACTCTCCAGCAGGTTCTCCAAGGTTGCAAATAGCACCAGAGGAATTTGCCCTTTTTTTTCCTACAGAGTAGCTGGTGGGTTTGAACTGCCAGAGAGGCGTAGTCTCTTTGTTCACAGTGTGACTCCCTGTGGAATTAACCTCTGGAACTCTCTCATAGAAGAGCAAATTCAAGATTGCAGGAATGTGGAAGAGAATGGAATAGGAAGGATGGCCAAGCAGTATGGGCTCCAGTCTGTATCCCCAATTCTTGCTAGTTACCCTTCTGTTTTTATAATTATCTTATGTAGTGTTTATCCTTATTAGATTTAGTTCACTCAGCATAATGCTCTCTAGATGCTCCCATGTTATATAGTATTTTATGAATTTGTTACTCCTTAGTGCTGCATAGTATTCCATTGTATGAACATACCATAATTCTTCAATCCATTCATTTGTTGATAGACATTTGGACTATTTCCAAACACGAGATGAGATCATGGATGAAGTTTGTTATTTTGCTTGTTTTTTATTAAGTTTTGAATACGTGTGAGTGTAATTGAGGAAAGGGGGGCACAACAGGATTGAGAAAGGTTTTGCATCTGACCCAGAGAGAGTAAGACATTGCCATCCAAACTTTCTGAAGAGGACTGTGCTGCTCTTTGTGCTTCTGTCTCACAGTGCTGAGCTAAGCTCTATGAGGACCACCCAGCACTCACTGCACTCAAAGCCTTAGAGCGCCAGAGACAGAGCAGACAAAGAATTGTTTGGTCTCTGTCTTCTTAGGACAATAGACTCTCAGCAGGGACTCACTTCCTGAGGTGCATATTTGTCTCTGGCTCTCTGGAGCCTATCAACATCACCTGCTGAGTGTATGCTGTGGACTCTGACCTCTTGGTCTGTTAAATCCTTATAACAGTTAGTAGTACTTACCTCACATGATTATAGTAAAAACTCTTAACGCTCAATTCTAATTTTAGTTCTGTTAATATAAATGAAGAATGAAGTTTAAAAGTGAGGACCTCAAACTCATCCAGATATTCCCCTAATAAAGGCTCAAAAACCATAATTCCAGGAAGAAGAAATCATGTTACAATTTAGAAATGGTTTAGAGTTGTTGCTTCTTAAAGCAGGGCAGGCCCTTATGTCTTAGCTCCATCTGTTTTATTCCCCAGACACTCCTACTCGTTAGCTTTCTGTTTGTTTTCTATTTACTTGGGAAAAGGATTTTTAAAACATTTTAAAAAGTGGAATGAAGGATTTTTCCTGTTTGTATTTTCCACTCTAGACTGCCTAAGAGACAGAACATGAAAAATCCAGAATTTCTCCTCATCGTCTTACTCATAGTTTTTTCCTATCAGGAATTTCATTCCAAAGTAAAACCACTGATTAAAACAACAGAGACTTGGTTTCTTCTTTATTTCTAAGAAAACACAAACACAAAACTGAGTGTGCATGGAGCGTGGTGGCTCCCTGTATTACACCAGCTGGGGGATCGGGAAGGGGAGAGAAAATGTCTTTGTGAAAAGCCAGAATAGAAAAAGTGGCAGGCTCTCCTCCTTCCTCAGCAGACAGTGCCATTAAGATATCAAGGACAGTCACTTCCGGCTGACCTGGAGTCAAGCCATCTGCTTCCACAAGACTCCACAGCCAGCTGGGTACATCATGGCTCAGCCCCAAACTGCTGGGCTCAAGCTCAGAACAGGGTAGAGCACTGAGGCCCCCACCCTGGCCTCACCCAGACTGAATGAGAAAGTTCAGAAGCAGTGGAGGTGACTGGATCCCAGGTCCAGAGAGAGAAATTCAGACAAACTGGAAACCTCGTATCTGGAATCTCATGTGCTTGACTGCTCAGGAACCCGTGGTTTGAGTAACTTTCTGGTTTTCACTCACAGGAAGGTCTGACTGGGATAGAGCAGGAGTCTTGGAACAGCTCTGGATCACCTTGGAAAAGTCATCCATCAGCCAGACTGGCATGGCAATTCCAGGAAGCAACGTGTGGTGAATCAGCAGCCTGTTCACGCACTGTGGCTTCAGGAAGCACATCCAGGCCTCACCCACCTCCCCTCCACCCACCTTTCACACACCAGCTGTCTTGGAACTGGGGAAAGGGCAGTTCCATGACAGTTCCTACCACAGAGGTGAAGCAGATGGGAGGAGAAACTCTGCCTGGGTCCGCTGGAAACACTGTCAGGTTTTGATATGGAAATTCAGTTCCTAGTTCCTAATTCTCTTGTCTGGAGTTCACAAGCACCACAGTGTAGGTAGAAATCACTGCACTCTAGGCTGGCATGCTCGGCATCTGCCTCAATAAGACAGAGCCTGAGAGCTTTGCTAAGGGCAAGGCTGCTTGGGCTTTCAGATGGCTGTTGAATATGAGTGCATCTTGTACGTCAGGACAAAATGCTGCACTGGTGGATCTCTAGACAGCTGCTGGAAGAGTTTTGGGAGATCGTGCTGGAGTTCTATTGCTGCATCAAGTTAAGTGCCTCAACTCTGGGTAAGGTGCTCCTTTCTATCTTTCCATTGGCCAGTACTGGCCTCCTCCTGATGTAGCCCCTATTCCCAAAACAGCACTGACACATCGAATCAATCTGTTGTACCTTCAATTCCCCACAGCCGAGTAATGGTTGTCAAACAATAAGCAGATCTGGAGAGTCATTTCAACTGTTCCTTCTTTGTAACCCAACTCGAGAGACTGTTAACATTCTTAGTCTCTCTGTTAGAGTCCCTTAACTCTGGAAAAAACCATAACTTTAGACCCTAGGGATCCATATTCAGACCTGATCATGGTGAAAGCAAGGTGACATTCACTGATGACTGAGAAGGACAAGCCTTAAAAGAGGAGCTGAGTCAATGTGGCCCATGCAGTTTTTCAATCCACCCACCCAGCCTCCAACAAACCCCCACCCCCACCCCCCGGCCTATCTCTAGGGTTGGTGTCCTTAGCCTTCCTGGACTGTTGCATGAGCCTGAGGAAACAGGAAAGAAGTGAGTCAGTTCATCATAACCACATGCCTCACACTTGGTCCTCAAGGCCCTTCGATGGCACGGAAGGCAGGTGGCTGTGCGGCCTGCAGCAACTGAGCAGTCAGAGAAGTTGGAGAAAGAATCCAGTAAGTTTTTACTGAGCAGGGAGGAGTTTAAATGCTAATGGGAAAACTTTTAGGTAATCCTAAATTAAATGAGAAGTAAGGTGAATCCTCCAAGGACCTGCCCCTGGAGTTTATTCCCTGTCTTGATAAAAACTAACACCCATAGTCTTTTCCTTCTTCCCACCTTCTTTTCATCAGCCCCTAGCAACCACCACAACCACATGCTTTGCACATTTTCCATTCCTTCTTTGCTGCCTAAATAAATAAATAAAAATTCAAGTATAATTTCTTCTTCAATAATGCCATATTTAAGGGGTACACTGTGCTTTGACTTGGCATCAACTATAAGTGGATTTTTAAGCAATTCAAGATTACACCACCAGCTAGTTACATCACCAGGATGGTAAAAAGAGTAACTCTGCCAATGGGGAACAGACAGCTTCCATTTGATTGTAATTTGTGTTGTCCATATAGCAACACAGAAAGTGGTTCCACTAGCTCCACAGCTCTGCAGTATTTGTCATGGAAATTCGGCG